ACTTCACTCTCGCAATCGTGATGACCCCGCCAATTACCTACCTGTAACCCTCCGTCCAAAGTTATCCAAAGGAAGAATATCGGCTTGTTTAGACGCGTCTTTGGTCGAATCGAATCAGTAATCAGAGATTCGTGTTCATGCCAATACATCTCAATATATATCACTACTTTACTTTTTTATTTTAATCTTGTTTTATTTTCCTACGACAATTTTATTCCCAAGTAGTGATATATATTGAGATATATTAATACGAATCTCTGAAAACAAGCTTGTTCGCCACTCTGTTGTTTTGTTTGAAATGTGCTCTGTGGGATTATTTCAACAGTTGAAGCAGGCCAAAGACCCCATCGTACTTCGTGGACTTAACAAATATGTTAAATTCCGTACGAAACTGTCCCTGGCAGTTGATCGAATTCAGTTTATTGACGATTGTGTTACCAACTCGGAATATCCAAAACTTTATTGGACAGTTTTGAAGAGAAACCGTGTCAAAATTACTAGTGTGACACTAAGACGTCAAGCTCTCAATGAGCGAGATACTCCGTGTAATCATCTTGTGGAGTTAAATCGCAATTGTGTAACATCTGAGCGTGTGTTGTATAATCTCTCCCGGACTGAAAGGCAACAATTTGAGGATTACACGTAGTCTATTGTTTCCAAACAGGTGGAACAAAGCCGAAACACGTTGCGTCTGCGACTTAATCCTACCAAGCTTGTGGGTGAGTTCCCTACCAATCCGGAACACTATGTTCACAATCTATCAAGCATAAATTTGAACAAAAAGCTGTTAGAAGTGTTATCTCTGGGACCAAAGTTTTGTTGTCCGAATATGAGATCAAACCAATTGGATATGGAGGTGGAATTTGAAAACTTATATGCGCAACTTTTTGACCTGGTTCTTTCTTCGTCATTGGAGTTGGAGAGGCTCAAGTCTACCTTAGTAAATGCTTGCTACCAGCATCAGAATGTCCAGCTAAATACAAATAGGTTAGTAACTACAGGACATATCAGACGATTACGAGAACTTCAGAACAATAAACAAGTTATACTATCCAGACCGGATAAAGGGACGGGGATCGTACTGCTAAATCGAACGGACCACATAGACAAGATGAATACCGTATTGGGTGATCGATCGAAATTCACCAAGTTGACGGAAAAGGATAAGACGGCTTCAAATAGAAGGGGCGCTTTCCAAGATTTTGCGATGCTTAAAGCAGAGAGGAGTCATTGATGCATCCCTTTTCGAACGTATTAGGCCAACCGGGACTGTTATTCCGAGGTTGTATGGATTGCCAAAAGTACACAAAGATGGAGTGCCATTACGACCGATTTTGTATACGTGCAACTCATCAGATCATGCCTTGGAAAAGTGATTGGCCAAATAGTTAGAACCCGTTTGGCAAAACACTGTCAAAGATACATTTACTTTTGTGGACAAAATTCATGACATGAACTTGGTCGATCGAACAATGCTCTCGCTGGACGTCAGCTCGTTGTTCACAAACGTTCCCATCGACGAAACGATTGAATACCTGTGCAGTTACTTACAAACCAATAATGTAGAGCTCAGCCTCCCTGTGGATGACGTTAAACAACTGCTTTATTTCTGCACGTATAATGTTCAGTTCAAGTTTAACGATGAGATCTATCGACAAAAGGATGGCGTAGCCATGGGGTCTCCGCTAGGACCACTTTTAACGGATTTATTCATGGCGAAGCTTGAAAACACTCAATTACAATCATTCATCGAAGACTGTGTACTGTACACACGGTACGTAGATGATATTTATTGTGATCGGTGCAACATCGAATACAACGGAACTATTAAACAGGTTCAACAATGCGCATCCCAACATAACATTTACTTTAGAAATGGAGTGTAACAACAAATTGCCGTTTCTAGATGTCTGCATCACCCGTCAACCAGATGGTTCAGTGCAGCGTTCCGTGCATAGAAAGGCAACGTGGATCTATTTCTACTCAGTTCCGCCGAATTCGATGTGGAATTCCAAATGGGACAAAGAGTATGTTGAATATTAATTTCAGACGATGGCACCGTGCATCGTACACATTTGGATGAAACAAGATGTGATGTGCCCAATGTTGATGCTAGTTGGGATTGTGCTAATCCTGTTACTTCTAAATCTATTTCAGATGAATTATACTTGAACTTGAAAGACCAAGATGAACCGAAAATCTTGGCCAACAGAGACCGTCGTGGTTTTAGAAAACTGGAGCTTCATTCAAGCTGCGGCGGATGTGGTGATTGTAAGAGGGCCGAGCAAAACGTTTATTTGTTAAACAGAAATATGCGTTCTATTTTCTCAAAGTATTCCTGCACACCCAGTTCCATGCGCTCCAGCCGTTTAGTGAAACAGCTTGACCATGCCGAAGCCGGTAACACTTCAACCAGTTCAATGAAAATCTTCACCGAAGCTGTCGGTGACTCGTATCAGATTCCGGACATCATGTGCTCCACATTTTGGAACATAAAATGTCACACAATGCCAGGTCTGAACTGTAGGGTAGGTGACCAACCTCTCAGAGGCGTACCCTAGACAGAAGATCATCGACAATATGGGACCTGTATGCAGGTGCTAACAGCTTATAGCACTCTCGGCGGACAGTGGTTGTCGTACCAGTCCGGTGATTGTACTTTGCTGTGCGAGTGGTACAATAGCCACCTAACCATTTTTGGCCGTGAGTACAACCATTACTTCTAACTGCATCTATTTATTTCAATATACCTGGGATCAGCGTTACATCGGAACTATAGAACGTCACTTATCAGCCGGAATGTGTGAACATATTCCGAAATACCTTGGTCTTAGTGGAGGGAAACTACGATACAGTGCGATTGTCCGTCATTTGTTAGATTCCGGTCACCGTGTAGACGCACCCAACGAGTTTCTAGTCATTGCGAGGCGTCGAAGTTCACGGACTTTGCGATTCTTAGAAGTGATAATTATTCATCAGAGACATTTGGATCCCGTAATGAATTTGAACAGGCAATCCAGAAGATAAACACTACGAGAGGAATTCCTTTCGTATACTCTCATGGGTCACGTACGTATAACATCCGATATTTTCATGGGTATGATTGAAGCACAGCTGAACGAGGCAATCAAGGGAACATTTTTCTACAAAAGATACGTGGATGATGTGCTCGTCATCTTCAATCACCCTCACGATATGGCAGTATTGCTGAATGAATTGAACGCAGCACACCCCAACTTGAAATTCACCAGTGAAGTGGAGAAGGCAAACTCGTTAGCTTTCCTTGATGTCCTAATAACCCGCAAAAGTGACGGTTCTATCCAACGATCTATCTTCCGCAAGAAGACTTGGTCCGAGCAGTACCTTCACTTCAACAGTTTCTCACCAATAGAACACGAGAGAGCCCTGGTCCGAACATTGTTCTATAGGGCGAGAAAAATATGTACAGAGGACACAATACCAAGTGAACAGGAGAATATCTATAGCGCATTACGGGTAAATGGTTATCCGGAATGTTTCGTTCGTTTTCATAGTCGGATAGGAAACCGGATTCAAGCCACTACCCTTCGAGTACCAAAAAAGAGTATCCACATCTCGCTGCCATACAAAAGGGAGTCAATAATGCAGCTTATCACCCAGCGTATCAAAAACGCGTTACAAAGAACCTACTACGCTGCCACATTAAGACTCCATCCGAACACACGGCGCCTCCCCCTCTCCCCATTCAAAGATCATCGTCCAGTCGAGTCTACCTCTCATTGCATTTACGCCTTCGGTTGCCGCTGCAACGAAGCATACATTGGTAGAACCGACCGATCACTGCGAACAATACCTTTTCAACTTCAAGTGAATCCGTTGTAAACTCAAGTGAATCCAACTAATCGCACTCCATTGGAAATCCCGACAAGATGATGGGTGTTTTGGCCGTCAAATGTCACCGATTGGACTGGGTCTGTCTAAACCCCCTCCAGTTCGAATGAACCAATTTCTCGGTAAACAAACAAAAATACATTTTTAGTGAGTTACTGAGCAGGGTTGAATGTTTCGGGAGAGGGCTGGGTGGGTCGAGGTGAATCGAGGTGGGCCCCCCCCCCACACACACACATTTCACCCGGGAACGTTATGTTCGTGATCGTTGATCGAGTGTGCGCCATAGATACGAATGAACTAACCCCGAGTTAACTGACCTCTGTCGGTCCGGTAAGGAAGCGAATCACACCAAGATGGATCGATAAGTCGGTCAACATTCCCAGACGTGAATGTTGTATGAGTGGAGTCAGTCTAAGCCCACAAGCCGGTGCCCAGACGTGAATGTGAGCATGATTCTTAGTATGAGTGGAGTCAGTCTAAGCCCACAATAACCCAATGAGTAAATTCTATTGAGGCCGAGTTTCTCTCGAAGAAAACCGATTCCTTTGAATCAAGTGCGATTGCTTACGTATTTCTGACATTGACACAAGATACTTAGCATGCATAATCATCTTGATGGGGGTGACTACTGTAGTTAGTTTCTCCAATCCAATCCAAATGTACGTGATTATTTTGACCAAACTGTGGAATCGACCCCAACGGTTGCTAGTTTGTACCATTTACTCCTTAACGATCAGCAAAATGTCGACCTGCCCAACCTAGTTTACTGTTTTTACATGATTGTTCGGTTTTAACGATGCATGAACTTTCTGTCTTTTTCTTTAACCGACAGATGAACATGCTATTATGTTCAAGTTGGGTCCTTTGCTGGTCCAACCACAGTTATGGCCGATCCAAAGTGGGCTTTAAAGCCATTAGAAGCCTCCCGTCCAGCAAAGGACCCAACTTGAACATAATAGCATGTCCATCTGTCGCTGGTATCCTTAAATATGAATGTCATCCAAAGATCAGTTGGCATGTTTTCAATGGGTTCCTATCAAGCTGCTCTACACTAATCGCTGCTGAGCAACCGGGTGTCCCAGTNTCTTTGACAACGCGCCCGTTCATCGGAGAGCTTTGGATGCGCAGTTAAATGCCAACCACCATGTCCGATTTTATCCCACCATATAGTCCCTTTTTCAATCCAGTGGAAGAGGTCTTCAGTAAATTCAAACAGGTGAGAGATTTTATTCTTTTAATTCCCTTATCATTTAGTAC